AATGCAAAGCAGAATAGTCATGTGAACAGAGAATGGTTGTGAGTCTATCAGTTGTTTATCCTTATGATCATGAGTCTGACTGGGAATTGCAGCTGGCCACCATTGCCCAGCATCACAGGAGAGCATCCTACCACATATCACTTAGCCCAGGAAAAGATTAAAATTCAAATTTTGAATTATGATTTCTACTGAATGCCTATCACTTTTGCATCATTATATGGCTGAGAAATCATGAGTCAGGGACCATCTATATTTCCAGTTTCTCTTATTCTTATAGTTAAGCCCTTCCTGGGTCTCAAATGAAAGCCAGGGTTGTTCTTCTTCTCCTTAGAAGGCCCTGGATTACTATTCTTGATTCCTCAGTGCCATGAAGTTTTCTCTTAGTGATATCTCCTTTCTACTTGGTTTCTCTGGGTCTTGCCTCTTCATATTTAACTTAGGAATCAGCAATTCCGGGAAGGAAAATTGCACGCAGAATGTCGACTCACTTTTCCATAGTGCCCTTCCTCCAGGACCTCTGACTGTCAAGTACTGGCTGCTTATTAGTCCTGTACATGAATATTTGTATACTTGTTTCACTGAGATTGCTGTAGACTTCAGGCTGCTTGTTTCTGTTTGGGCTCTGTGATCTGCACTGCAACTCTTCAAATGATTGAAGAGGAACACAGTGATCAATGCAGGACTCACTTCTATGTGTTTCCCTTCTCTCCAGGAGTTTTGCTCCTTGAGTCCACTTACTTTTGTTTCCCCATGCATTTAATCTAGCTTTATTTCCAGCAGGAAAGACAGTACAATACCAGCCCCTTCCTTATAGTCCTAAGTCCTCCTGCCATCATTTTTAAGTTTTTAAGTTTTCATTTCTTTTATTAACTTGTTTTTGGATGCTGTGTCTTTCGTGATTGAAAATGTCTTTATTTTGCCCTAGCACTTGAATGATACCTTAAGTAGGTAATAGAATTCGTCATTTTATAGGCTTTTTCCCTTACAACTCTGAGAAGACAGAGTCATTTTTTAACATGTGGTGTCACAGATGAGAAATCTTATTCTTGTTACTATATTAAAGACTTTTTCCCTCTTACCAGATAAAGATTATTGAATTTTCTTTTTGTTCATAGACCTTGGAAATTTCACCAACATATGTTTATATATATCTTTTATAAGAAAATATGTCTTTTTCAGTATGTATAATTGACAGTTCATGAGCCTTACACCCTAAAGATTAAAATCTCTTTGATTAATGAAACTTTTCTCATATTATTTCTTTCACTATTTATTCTATCCTCTCATAATTTTTTCTTTTGAATCCTTACAAGCTAGATTTTGAATCTCCTTCCTCAGTCTTCTCTGCCTCTTAACTTCACCCTTGTAATTTAAAAACTGTTATGACTTTGCTTGCCCTTCTGAGAAAATTCCTTCCATATCACTAATTTGTCTTTTAGCCATTTTCATTCTAATACCCAGTTTTTCTATTAAGTATTTTTTAAATACATTTTTAAACTCATTTTAAATTTCCAGGGTCTTTCTTGTTTTCCTGAATTTTCCTTTTCCAATGAAAGCTTTTCTTGTTTTAAGGATGCATTATGCTCTCAAGTCTATGAAATTATACATTCATGATCTTTGACTTTTTCTTTGGTTTTCTGAATTAATTCTATGGGAGAGTAGAATGTGAAGTTAGTTGCTCCGCTTGTGTAACTTTGTAACTTCCATGCTACTGGTTTTCCCCAGGTGCCAAATGATGCTTGGTTTGTGTGCTCACACTTTAAAAAAAAGATTTATTTGTTTATTAGAGAAAGAGGGAGAACAGGTGGAGGAGCAGAGGGAGAGGGGAGAGAGAATCTCCAGCAGATTCCCCGCTGAATGTGGAACCTGACGCAGGTCTTGATCTCACAACCTGAGCTGAAACCAAGAGTCTGTCACTTAACCAACTGAGCCACCCAGGCACCCCCTGTGTGCTCACATTTTAAAATGAAAGACTAGATTTGTCATTACTCTAACTTACAGGGATTTCCTTAGATATTATTAAAGACTCTTGTTTGATATATCTGGACAGAGCTCCAGGTATAGTTTAGCAGGGTTTTGCAAGTGGTCTTCACCCAGCTGTAATCAGTGCACATAGAAATATCCACAAATAGGCTTCTTTTCAGGGTATATAAGCTGGAAACAATCTGGGAAGGTGGAACCCCTCAAATGTAGACACAGGAGAAGTGTCTGACAGAGGGCATGCATTCAGCCATTTTTTGCTTTTTGCAGCTGTTTTTTGTTTTCCCTTCCCTGTGTCCAGTGGGGCTAGCTAGAGTTTACTGAGGCAATGCCCCTTCTCTCCCTGACTCGAGGGTAGCTTTTCATAGTAATTTCCCTCACTTTTCACACTGTACTCGCCAACACCTATGCTGTAAATGATATAAGTGCAAACCATGCATTGAGGGCAGAGGAATTGTTCAGATCTAGCCGTCCTTAGAGTGAGTACATGACTCCATGGTCACTCCTGCTCCCATGGCCAGCTTTTCTGAACTTTGAGCTTGCAGTTTGCCTGTCCTCTAATGGAAGAAAAATGCACGTCTTTCTTTAGTAGTCCCCTCTTTCTCCTATATTCACTTCTAAGTCCTCACTTCTGTTTGTTTCTCCATCAGTAGAGTCTCCTAAAAATTTCCTTGGCACCATAGCTCTACAACTTTTACTGAGAATTTTTAAAAAGCAATTTATTATGTATATTTAATTTAATATTTAAATAGAATTATGAAAGAACTATATGTGTCAATCATTTCCATGCAATTTCTTTCCCATTATGAAAGCATACAAGCATTCTTTACCTGTTTCTCTGTGTTCTAGGATTTTGTTTTCCATTTTCGGTGTACAGTCTCTGTCCTAGGATAAAAATGAAATTATTTAAGGCCATGTAATTGTTTCATGTAATAATTAAACTTAAATATCCTATTTTGCAGTGTGACTTTTTTCTACTCCTATGCTGTACTGAGACGATGGAGACTGGGCTGTGTTGCAAGAAGTCTTTTGTTGTGATTGTTTAAAAACAAACACAGTGAAACCGTAGCGGTTATGTAAATAAATCAGACTTAGTTCTCCTTACCAGAGATTAATACAAGTAAATGTTGGGGGCCAGGATATACTTTTCATAAGTGGCTAATATCTAAATTGTATTCCATACCGAAACTTTATTCATGTAGTACATGATTCCTTTGCTGTGAGCATAGAGTCAGTGGGACCCAAGTCCAAACCCTAGCTCTATCACTTGCTAATTCCATGACTTGGGACACAGCCCAGAGGGCACCTTGGTAAATATTGGATGAGTGATGTATGAAGTTACTAAATGTATGAGGCTCAATTTCCTTATCTGTAAAATAAGTATAACAACACAGTTACTTAGCAATTACAGACAACTCTTGGCATATAGTAACCATTCAATTAACTAAATTGAATTAGTGATCAATTTTATACTAGAATCCTTTCATTAATATCAAGGAAGTCCCAGAAACAGTATGAGTTATCTCAGTTTTATGAGGGTGATGAGAAGAATGGACTCACATGACACAGTCGGATAGCCTTTCTAGCATTGTTTCTTTTTTGCTATAAGCATTTATTAAAGCAGATTATGTGCTTAATGGTTCAACAGCAAACTTAAAGGGTAAAGACACAGTCTTAAGAAGCAATACATACCAACTGGAGATTTTCTGGACACAGTTACATCACAGCTTTAAGGAATAATAAAGCAAATATGAGACACATACTGTGGAGAATAAGGGAGCTTGTTTCACGTGGGGAAGGTTGTATAAAAGTGAGTTTGGAATTGGAAATGGGAAAAAAGACACTATTTGGTACAAAGATCATGGGGAGATTTTTCAGGCAACAGGTGGGGAAGGTTGATGTGGTGTTCTGGGCAAAGTGGATGCTGGGGACAGCAGGAGCTAGTGGTTGGGAGTTCCTCAGTGGGGTCAGTGGGAGGTGAGATGAGTTAGGCAAAGTGGAACCAATTTGCAGATCACCTTGGTAATTGCACCAACTTTCCATTCTGCTATTTCTCAGCCTCTTAATGCCTTATTTGAACATAGAAACATTCCAGAGAGGATCAGGACCATTTGGTAAACTAGAGGTTGGCATTATTTTCATTTTAAAGTGGTCCACCTTATTGTTGTTGGTTTTCTTTTTCCTATCCAAAGACAACAATTTAAACAGTTTAAGCTTGATTTTAGTAGATCACAGAGTAAAAAGAAAGGCCTAATAGTTATGGACTTGATTATCTCTTCTGTATCCAACAATTAAAGTGGACACCTTGAGGGAAGACCACTTTTCACCTGACTTGGTTTGGCAATTGCAATTTAAAATCTGTTCCTTCTCCTATGAGATGATGTGAGCCTCTCTGGCATGTTCTTCCTTCTTTCCCCTAAAATTATTTTCACTTTACCTTCCATTCTGATTCTAAGTGAGCTGATGGGCTGGGATTTGGGGTTTAAATATCTCTTTGTTCATTTGTGAAAAGAATTAAAGAAATATGCCAGCACCATTTAATACAAGGCTGTCCAGGATGGCAGATAAGGCACTACATTACAGAGAAATGACAGCTCTGCATACACTGGAGGCAACGAGAAAGGATGTGTAACTCATCTTCCCTATTTCCTTCTATTTTTATTGTTGCTGTTGTTCATATGAATGCCTTTTATTTCCAGTGAAAATTTTTGGACAGAACATTCTTTGTTTTTCTGCATTCATTTTTTTCCCCTTCTGTTACTGGAATGCCTGCATTAGTGCATCAGTTGATATATATAGCAAAAATACTGGAATCAAATGCAAGGTTACTGCATTGATTCCATGCTAGAAATATTTTCCCTACTTTATTTCTTCTAACATATGTATACTTGATAGACATTTCATTTTTTAAAGTGTTAGATCTTAGGAGATTTCTGTTACTTAACATGATCCCAAGATACAATTCTCTAAAGAAGGGAATGGCAAATTATTTTAATGCCTTTTATTGTTTTTGTTTCTAGCCTATTCTACTAAGCTCAACAAATTTCCTGTGTTTAATATTAATGATGACTTGAATGATCTGTGTACCAGTGCAGTAAGCCCAAATACTACCAAAGCCACGCGATATGCCCTGAATGTGTGGCGATATTGGTGTGTGACCAACGGGCTCAAAGATCACACGGACATCACCAAGGTAAGAAACTCCTCTGAGTTTACTTCTTCTTTCAGCCACCTTCACAGCTTCTAAGTGCTAGGCATTGTGTTAAGCATTATTAGGAACACAGAACAGAGAACACTTTGAAAGAACATGAAATCAAAAGAAAAATTGTGTTTTAAAAGAGAGTTAGAATTTCAGTAGTATTGGATGAAGACAGGAGTCTTCTAGCCTAAGTGACATGAAGAAGAATAAGATTTGGAGGGATAGATTCACTTGCCTGCAGCAGAGACTTCAGATATGGGAATAGTAGACTATAAAACCAGATGTTGTTAAACTAAATGCCAAACTAAAATCTTGTGAATACTAGGAAGATGTTGAAGTTTTCTTTTGTTTTTGTTTGTAAGGAAAGACTTTATCTGAAGGATTATTGCATTGGCATCAGGGAAGGGACTGTCAAAATAGGGAGAATGCTCTGACTATAAGACCTAAAGAGTCAGGGAAGTTTCTTTAACAGGAAGGAATATAGTGAAAGAGATATTTGGAAAAATTAATTGGAAGTGATGAGCAAAAATTTGTTTAGTATCCTTCGTCCTCAATTTCTCCAGTTGTAACATGAACTCTTAAAATGTCTTCCAACTTGAAATGTTTGAAGTTGCTCAATGGAAAGGAAATACTTTTGGACATGTAGAGACAGAACAGAAAGACATATTTTAGGGGTGCCTGGGTGGTTCAGTCAGTTGGGCATCTGCCTTTGACTCAGGTCATGATCCTAGGGTCCTGGGATTGAGCCCCACACTAGCCTCCCTGCTCAGGGGGAGCCTGCTTTCCACTTGTGCTCTCTGTTGCGCGCTCTCTCTCTCTCTCTCTCAGATAAATAAATAAAATCTTTAAAAAAAAAAAGAAAGGCATATTTTGATTTGGATATACTGAGTCTAAAGCAGATAGATGTCCAGATGGACATGTCCAATAAACAGTTGGGAATGTGGGATTTAAAACATGGAAGTAAAAGGGGCATCTGTCTGGTTCAATCAGTAAAGTATGTGACTCTTGATCTCAAGGCCATGAGTTCAAGCTCCACATTGGGCCTAGAGCTTATTTTAAAAAAAATAAAAATATAGGGACGCCTGGGTGGCTCTGTGGTTGGGTGCCAGCCTTTGGCTCATGTTGTGATCCCGGGGTCCAGGATTGAGTCCCCCATCAGGCTCCCTGTGGGGAGCCTGCTTCTCCCTCTATCTGTGTCTCTGCCTCTCTCTCTCAGTCAGTGTCTCTCATGAATAAATAGATAAATCTTTAAAAAATTTAAAAATAAAAATATAAAACAAACAAAAATGGGAGAAATGTTAAAGCTGGAAGCATAGACTTAAATACCTTGCACAAAGAAGTCAAAAGTGAAGCTCAAAGCAGGTGACATCTCCAGGTTTGGGTGATGTGTTTAGGGCACCAAAAATAGATGAAATAAGAAATCCAGGTTTCTACTTCTGACAGCATGGTGCTCTAGATACTGTGAGGGGCCTCTCTGTTCTACTTGCAGAAAGGAAGGGAAACATCCATGGCACACGCACACACACACACACACACACACACACACACACACAAAGACAGCTGAAACTGGAGCAGTGAGCAGTAGCACAAAGGGCAGGGTTCACCCTGAGGGCATATATTGATAACGTTATTAAAGAAGGGAAGAGACAAATGCACGGAAGAATCCTTGATTTAGTAGACGACCCTGAAAGGAGCCTAAAGAAGTTCTAGGTTCTAGGTTCTGGCTCCTCAGAGAGTCATATGCTAATAATATTTGAAGAGGAATACCCAAAATGAAGGAACTTAAGTTTTTTGCAGATTAAAATCAACTAAATATGTGTCCATTAAAACACAAATAAAAACAAACAAACAAACAAAAAAACAGAAACTTGTTCAACCCAAAACACTAGCTGCTCAAGGAAATAGGTCACCGTGAATGAGGTTGAATAGACACAACAATCAATACATTTAGACACCAAGGACTTTAGATAGACTAATATTATGAAATATTTATAGAAATGAAAAGAATCATAAAATTGAGCAAGCAACAATATAGTAATCAAAATAATCCAACAGATTTGAAAATAAAGAAAAACTTCCACTTGTGGCCACAGGGACAAATGGATCCAAAATTACCCTGCTTCTGTAACAACTAGAAAACTGAGCACAATATGTACAACAACTGTTCTCAGACAGAACAGACAGCATAGGACTTGATCCCTTAGAGGAAGGTAACAAATGAGAGTACTGAGAAAAGTCTTTCATCAGATGTGGAGAATAGTTAGCTCTAAACTGAGCTCTGCTGTGATCCCACCCAACACATCTTAAAAGCTAAACCCATGCACATGAAAAGATGCTAATATCACTAATCAGGGAAATGCAAATCAAAACTACAATGAGATACCACCTCACACCTGTCAGAATGGCTAGTATCAAAAGGACAAGAAATAATAAGTGTTAGCGAGGAATGTAGAGAAAAGGGAACCCTGTGCACTGTTGGTGGGAATGTAAATTAGTGCCGCCATTATGGGAAATACAATAGAAGTTCCTCAGAAAACTAAAAAATAGAACTACCATGTGATCCTGCAATTCTACTTCTGGGTATTTGTCTGAAGGAAATGAAAAGATTTATGCGCCCCCATGTTCATTGCACCCTTATTTAGGGTCCTGGGACAGTAGCCAAGACATGGAGGCAACCTAAGTGTCCATGAGTGATGAATGTATAAAGAAAATGTAGTGCATATACATACAATGTAATAGAAGGATATCCTGCCATTTGCAGCAACATGAATGGACGTTGAGGGCATTATGCTAGGTGAAATAAGTCAGAGAAAGACAAATACCATATGATCTAACTTATATGTGGAATATAAAAGCAAAACAAAACAACAACAAAACAACAACAACCTAAACTGAACTCGTAGAAAAAGAGAAAAGATTAATGGCTGCTAGAGGTGTGGGGGTGTGAGGGTGTGAAGGAGAGTAAAATGGATGAAGGTGACCAAAAGGTTCAAACTTCCAGTAATAAAATATTATTTTTTTTTTAAATGAGAGGCAGAGACAGCGCAGCAGAGACATACGCAGAGGGAGAAGCAGGCTCCATGCAGGGAGCCTGACGTGGGACTCGATCCCCGGTCTCCAGGATCACACCCTGGGCTGAAGGCGGCGCTAAACCACTGAGCCACCCGGGCTGCCCTCCAGCAATAAAATAAATTAAGTCATGGAGATGTGATGTACAGCTTGATGACTATAGTTAATGATATTGCATTGTATATTTGAAAGTTACTAAGAGAGTAGATCTTAAAAGTTCTCATCACAAGAAAAAAAATTTAACTATGTGTGATGACAGATGTTAGCTAGACTCTGATAATAATCATTTTGCAATACATCCAAATATTGAATCATTGTGTCGTAAGAACCAAAGAAATAAAATTCATAATGTCTAGCAACTAAACAAAAATTATTAGACATGCAAAGAAGCAAGAACATACCCCTTAAAGAATGAACCAATCATTCCAGCCCAGATCTAACAAAGATTTTAGAATTAGCAGGCAAGACATTAAACAGTTATTATAAAGAAGGTAAATAAATGGCCAATGAGCACATGAGAAAATGCTCAACTTCATTAGACATCAGGGAAATGCAAATCAAAACCACATGAGATTCTACTTCATACTCAATAGGAAGATTGCAATAATAATAATTTTTTAAATAGATAATAACAGGAGCACCTGGTTGGCTCAGTGACTGAACATCTGCCTTTGGCTCAGGTTGTGATCCTGGGGTCCTGGAATTTAGTCCTGCATCCCTGCAGAGGGGGCCTGCTACTCCCTCTGCCTGTGTCTCTGCCTCTCTCTCTGTGTCTCTCAGGAATAAATAAATAAAATCATAAAATAAAAAGATAATAATAAATGTCGATGAGAACATAGAAAAAATGGAACCCTAGTACACTTCTTTTGGGAATATAAAATGATGTAGCTGCTTTGGAAAGCCTGGCATCTCCCCACAAGTTAACATAGGGTTACTCTTTCACCCAGCAATTGTACTCCTACACATATACCCAGGTTATTAAAAACATCTATTTGTACACAAAGTTGTACATAAATATATGTTGTAGCCTTATCACAATAGCCAAAACATAGAAACAACCCAAATGCCCACAAGCAGGCGAATAGATCAAATGTGGCATATTCATACAATGGAGTATTTTTTGGCAATCAAGAGAAATGACGTACTGATAGATGCTTACGGCATGAATGAACCTAGAAAACATTATACTAAGTGAAATAAGTCAGAAACAAAAGGACACCTATGTATTATTCCGTTTATGTAAAATATCTAGAATAGGCAGGGTAGTAAAGACAGGAAGTATGAGAGAGGTTATGAGGGGCTGGGAGGAGGAGGAAAAGTGGAGCTATTGTGGAATGAAGGCAGTTTCTGTTTGGAATGATGAAAAAGTTCTGGAAGTAAATAGTGATGGTGGTTGTGCAATGTTATAAATGTACTTAAAGCCACCAAATTGTATACTTACAGATGGTTAAGATGGTAAAAGTTATAGATCTTTTACCGCAATTTAAAAAAAAAACAAATAAAACAGCAAAAAATGTATTTCACCTTTATTAATAATTTTAAAATTCACCTGTTCTCACAAACCCCTAGCACCATCTTCATCCCCATTAACCTTAACCTTTTCTAGGCCTGAGGGTCTTGTCTTTCAGACTTTGCAGTTGACAGTTACTGGGAACCTTTATGTTCCCAGGCAGGAATACCCAAAAAGAACCTAATTTCTCTGCACTCTCCAAGGTTTGGATAAATTCTGCATCTCAGGTAGAGAAAATGTCCCATCTGTCCCAAAGAGTATACCTTTCAACTGCATTAGTATTTCTTAGTTTCCCCTGTGTTGGCTGGAAGAATAACGGGTGAGAAAGAAGATGTATTTCAGTCTTCTATAATCTATTCACATAGGCCACTCAAACATTTTTTTTAAGATTTTATTTATTTGTTTGAGAGAGGAT